GCTGCCTCGTCCCATGGGCTTTCCGCGAGGCGCGGGAGCAGCCGTGCCTGCGTGCCGCGGTGCGGGCTTCCCAGGTTGCTGGGCCTTGCTGGCTGTCCTTTCCCTGTTTCTGCTGCACGTGTCAGGGTGGTTTTAAGCCGCCCTCAGAGACGCTGGGGGTGGGGACCGTTGCTCTAGGATTTTTGTGATGTTGGATGGGGATAAGTCACTTAGGGATGAGAAGGGGCCTTGCTCCTCCACAGATGCAACTTCAGCTCTTTTCCCTGCAAGCACAGCACCTGTCTGTCTGCCCAGCATCCAGGGATCGGGTACCATCGCCACCCCCCCGCCCAGGCCGAGACTTCCCCCCCCATGGGCGCCTGTCCCAGGGGTGTCTTGGCACCTACGCTCTCCAGTCTGGCCCCGGTGCAGATGTGCTGAGGCCCTTGGGGGCTGAGCTTCCTGCCTGGCGGTTAACCTGGCCTGTATTGTTGTAATTATTATGCACATTTATCTCCACAAATGCACCCTTGGATCCCCTGGGCTCAGAGGAGATGCGACGATGCTGGGCAGCGATGCCTCCTGAGACCCTCCCGGCTCTGCACAGCAAAGCTGGGGAGAGGGCAGGGGGCAGAGGAGGTGGAAGTAAAACAGCATCATCTTAGTGGTGAGATGCTGCTTCAGGCTTAAACCCCGCCTGACACCTGGAGCAGTAACAGGGGAAGGGACAACCAGCAAAGCCCAGAAGTCTGGAAAATCCCCATAGCAGAGCACAGGCATCGCTGCCCCTAGATCATCCCCGACCCGTGGTTGTCCAGCCTCCGCGGTGATGGAGAGCCCACCGCTCCCCCGGGCGTCCATTCCTCACCCCTCTAACGGGGCAGAAGTTTTTGCTGAGATCTGGGATAAACCCTTGTCCGTCTTGTCCGCAGGCCGCTGAGACGGAAGCGAGGGACGCCGAGCCGCCGGGATGCAGAGCATCAAGTGCGTGGTGGTGGGCGACGGAGCGGTGGGCAAGACCTGCCTGCTGATCTGTTACACGACCAACGCCTTCCCCAAGGAGTACATCCCCACCGTGTTCGACAACTACAGCGCCCAGAACACGGTGGACGGCAGGACTATTAACCTCAACCTGTGGGACACGGCCGGCCAGGAGGAGTACGACCGCCTCCGGACGCTGTCCTACCCGCAGACCAACGTCTTCATCATCTGCTTCTCCATCGCCAGCCCGCCCTCCTACGAGAACGTGAAGCACAAGTGGTACCCGGAGGTGTGCCACCACTGCCCCAACGTGCCCATCCTCCTCGTGGGCACCAAGAAGGATCTGAGGAACAACCCTGAGACCATGAAGAAGCTGAAGGAGCAGAACCAGGCGCCCGTCACCACCCAGCAAGGCATCACCCTCTCCAAGCAGATCCACGCCGTCAAGTACCTGGAGTGCTCCGCTCTCAACCAGGAAGGCATCAAGGACGTCTTCACGGAGGCCGTGCGGGCCGTCCTCAACCCCGCCCCGGCCAAGCCCAAAAAGTCCTGCGTCCTCTTGTGAAGGGGGAGACTTGGGGGGTGGGGGGGATCGGAGAGACACCTGAGAAACCTCGTCTTGGCCCTGCTGCCTCTCGCGACGCCAGAATGTACAGCCCCGAGCGCAGGGTGCGGCCAGGACTGCCCGCCTCCCCCTTTCCCGTCCGCCTCCCGCCGCGCGGCCTTCCCGTTCAGGAGCAGCTCCCCGCCCGGGTACCACGAACCCACGGCTGTTAGCGATAATAATAAAGCCCACGTTTGCACTGATGCCGAAGTTGTCTCAGGTCCCGTTTCTCGGGGGGTCCCGTCCCCTGGCTCCCCCCCTCTCCTCTGGGGTGAAGCCCAGGACAGCCCCTCCATGCCCGAGCCTTGCAGCTCAGCCTGGCCGGAAGGAAACCAGTGCCTTACGACCCCACTGCCCCGCGAAGGCAGCCCTCGAGCCAACTGACACCACCTGCCCCGCGTCCCTCGTCTCGTCCCACGCCTTATCGGGACCGCAGGAAAGCAGGATCCGAGTTCGGGCCCGACACCCAGAGAAGCCCTGCCCTGCCCTGCCGCCGGCTAACGGGTGCGGGTTCGGTGTTGCGGCAGCACTGGTTGGAGAGCGACGGCTCTCGGGCACCTCCGTTCTCGCCGCGTCGGAAAGGCTTTCTCCGAGCGCCGTCTCTGGGGCTTTTTACCCGCACGCGGCTTGTTCTGACGGCGCTGAAATGGCCCCTTCCCAAGACACGAGGGCTGGAGTCTGGCCAGCGACCGGTTCCTTGCTGTACCCCGGCGCTTCTGGGCTCGCACGCAGAGACCCTGGATGAGCTCCCGCCGCGGACCCTCCTCCTGGGACCCAACGACCGTCGCAAGCTGCCGGCTTCCCTGGCTCCCCTGCTCCATGCTGTGGTCCTGCTCCTGATTTAAGAGGCCAGTGCTGCCCAGCAGAGCGGCTGTGCATCCTGACGTCCGGGGACCAGCGCAGCCCCGCTGCCTCCGGCTGCGTCTCGGGGCGGCCACCAGCCTGGAGCCTCCCACGGTACTAGCCAGATCCCCGTCTCGCTGCGCCCTTGGATCCCCGCTGCCAGGCTCAGCACGAAGCAGGATCAGGCTCCTGGAGCGTTATCAGCCCCCCCGATACAGAAGGGAAAGGCCTGGTGGGGCGTCCTCGGCTTCATCCTCTTGGATGACGGGGAGAGGGGAAGCTGTTGCCTGCCTTGGGATTGGCAGCAGGAGGAGGGAAGAGGTCGTGGCTCCAGCCCCCAGGCCCTTCACGTCCATCCTGGTGCGGTGATGGAGGAGGCTGCCTTCCCTGTGATGCCCGCTCCAGGTGGGGCGGAGGGGGCAGCAGGGTGCCGGGGCGCTGAGAAGCCATGCACGATGCCCATGGGTCAGCCCCGGTGCGGGGCAGCAGGGGTGATGACCGGGAGCTCCCTGTCCCCATGCCAAGGACGTGGCTGGAGCAGTCGCTCGGGCAGGAGCAATGCATGCGGCTCCCGATCTCCTCGCCGGTGCTGCGCCGGGAGGAGCTCGCGAGCGGGGCGAGATCGGTGCCTTCCACTTTGCTTGTCCTTAATAAACGGATTTGCCCGGTGTCTCCGTGCCTGGTGGCTCCTTGCTCCTCTCCCCTGACCGCGGAGCATCAGCAAACCCAGCCCTGGGTGCGAGCCTGGGGCCTGGTCCTGTGCGGCGCTGAGCAAATCCCCCTCAGTGCCTACCCGTGCCTCGGCCAGATGGGACAGCCTCGGCTCCAGGAGAACCCGGTGGGTGTCAAGACACCCCGCACCCACGTGGCCTCTGCTACTGCCTGGCTGAGCAGCCCTGGCCAGCTCCCTTTGCCTGCAGGCTGCCCTTCCCACTGCAGCCCTGGGAGTGGGGGGTTAACTGGTGCTGGAGGAGCCCGGAGGCCGGGGCTGGACACCCCTTCCTCAGATCTGCTGAGGAGGCAGCAGCCTTGACCGGCTGGGTTTCCACACACACAGGAATTTAATCTGCCTGGGGCTTGGCGCCGTGCCCTGCCCGCCCACGGCCCCTCTGCCAGGCATGGAGGAATCTCACCCCAGCCTGGTCGAGGATGGCGAGCTGTAGAGACCCAGCTGGGGCATCTGCCCCTAGCCGGGCTGGACAGAGGGTCCCTGGGCTTGCATCTCCCCTGGGGCCGAGTTCAGCTTTGCTAAGCAGGGAGCTGTGGGCAGGGCCAAGAGGGGAGACGGGAGTGTGGCATGTCACACTCCCCCAGCTCTGCCACTGACCCGGCGGATGCCCCTGGGTGCATCACTTTGCCCTCCTTCCCCATGCTGGGGGCTGGACTCCAGCCACCCAGCGCCGCGGGCAGGAGCCGTCTCCTGCCCGTGGGCAGGAGGCGCGTGCTGGCTTGGCCTGGCCCCGAGCCAGCTGGGCCCTGCATTGCAGGGCCCCGGCTCCGTCCCGCCCCTGCTCGGCAATGCAAGGAGCCCTTTGTCCGGTGGCTCCGGGCAACAGAACCTCATTGTTCCCGGGGCCAAGGGATTTCACTAGCAAATCGGCCCAGGGGAGTGGGGCTGAGCCGGGGCGGGAGAGCGCTGGATCTGCGTGCGGAGCGGACTGGTGCTCCCTTCCAGCCCAGGGCAGGGCTGGCAACACCACGTGCCACCCCTCGCTCCCGGCAGTGGGGCTACGGCAGGGTCTGAAGACCTGGATCCATCTCTGCCCGGCCTTGACTCCCTCCGGGATGCCTTGTGCCTCAGTTTCCCCAGTTGTACCTCGGTGCTAGGCTCTCAGGCGAGGGGTGGGGCAGCTGAGACAGGGATCCTTGTGGATGGCCCAGCTCTGCACCCCTGTCAGCGCAGGAGGAGAGAGGAAAGCCTCAAGGAAGCTACCGTTATGCTGCTGCCCATCACCACGGCCTCTGGGCCCTGCCACACCTGCCCGGAAGCGGCAGGGCTGGGATGCTGGCAAGGGAGGGTGAGGGGGGCCGGCGGGGAGCGGCTCCCATGACCTCACTGGGTTTGCCCATTTCCAGCATCCAGAGATGAGGTCATGGCCAGCTGCGGGGTGGGGGGCTTCAATGCCTCCCGGACGGCTCAGGCCAAGCCCCGCAGGCACATGCTAGCAGGAAGGGAAACTGAGGCACGGCGCTGGCCAGCCGGTGCGGCCCTTTGCAACCCAGGAGTCCTGGCTGCCAGGGCCTGGATCCCACCCGGGCAGTCAGGAGAGCCGCCCCTGATGTCCCATCCTGGAGTCAGGCCACGATGGACCCCAGTGCCCATCCCCATCTGGGCATGGGGCCGGGGTGCTTGGGTCCCCGGCAGGACACAGGCCCAGGTGGGACGCGCTCGCCCTGGGGACCCCATGTCCTGGGCACGTGCTTCCCCCTGCCCTTCGCACCCTCATCCTCCTCCTCTTCCCTGCCCCGTACCCCCAGTCTGCCCCATGGGGGGCAGCGAGGCCCCCATCAAGGCGCCAGCCAAGGAAGCCTGGACAATGGGTGTCTGCGGAGGGTGGGACAGAGGCGGCTCCCCAACAAGGGGCCTGTGTGCGAGGCGGTGGCATGGGGCCAAAGGTCCCCCCCCGCCCTGAGCCATGCTGCCTTCCAGCCCCGAGCCAGGCCAAGTGCCGGGAAGGTTGTGCCCCGGGGCAGCGGGTGGGAGCCACAATGGGGCCAGTGTGGCAGCCTGGAGGGGAGGGAGACCCAGGCACGGGGAGAGCAGGGCGCTGGCACCCAGCCGCGATTAACCCCTTCCTCTGCCCCACGGCATGGGTGGGGGGATGGCTGAGCCACTATGGGGGTGCACCATCGTTGGTGGGAGCCCCACGTGGGACCTCATGGACCCCGGGGCAGGGAGCCACCACCGCCAACCCAAGCAGCCTGCGAAGGAGCTCACAAAAATACTCAGTGCTTTATTGCATCCTTGCAAAATATACATCTGGCTGTACAAGGGGCACGCAGGCCAGGCACACGCGCACACACACACACACGCACACGCACACGCACACCAACTAGGCAGGGAAAGCAGAGTGCCGACAGGGCTGTGCATGCAGGGCGCGCGCCGCGGTCCAGCGAGCTGCTGGGAGCCCCGGCTGCAATCAGTGCTGGGCAGACAGCTGGGGTGGCCTTGTGCTTGCTGGGCTCGGGAGCGGCCCGGCCCGGTGGGAGTCTCCCCTCTCTCTGAGCGGTCTCAGAGGCTCCCCGGAGTCAGACGGGGCAGGGGGCAGGCACCCATCGACCTGCCAGAGAAGGGGACTGTGTCCTGTCTGTGCTGCAGTCAGTGCTTGGGCCACCTCAATCAGCCCTGGGTCCTCCAAAACAGGTCCTGCGTCTGCCCCTACATGTACCGGGTGTCCCTGCTCCGTCTGCTGCTGCCCTGGCCAGACCCCTCCTATCCCCTGGCTGCTGTGCTGAAGGAGGCTTCTCTAGCTTGAGCTTCTCCTGACAGCCCGTGCCCTCACCAAGGGGCTGCCCGCTGGGGTCTGGCAGTGTGGGTCAAGAGAAGGGTGCATGGAGGGAACCCCCTGCTAGCTCCTAGCCAGCTGGATGCAGCAAACCAGGGGTTTACCTATGCCACGCCTGGCCAACGTGGGCTCCACACGTGTCTGGACTCATGCCTCGCCACCCCACTGCAGGTGGCCCAGGGCCCTGGACCAAGGCCTGCTGCTGGCACGAGGCCTAAACCAGCATGTTTGGTCCCTCAGCTATGCACCCACCACTCTGGCCCTCTGACCCATCCTTTCCATGCTCTCCTCCTCGTGCCTGGAAGTCCCTGGAAACCTGGCACCCAGAGCCCGTGGGCAGTAACCGGCTTGGCTCCCAGCCCTCTGCTTTGCTGAGCTGCTGGGGCTAGCTCCGGCCCTTTAGTGCCCTGCCGTAGGGTCACTTTGTCCTGATCAGCAGGGCCCTGGTGCAAAACATCCGAGGGGTGATGTACCTGGGGCATTCAGCTCCAGGTGATACAGCTGCTGGAGGGAGGCTGGGAGAGGGTGGCCACGCAGGTGGAGCCGGAAGCTGTCAAAATTCAGTGATGCATTGGTACGGTGCACGCAGACCTCAGGAGCCATCGCCAAGCCCCCACCTCGCTGCTGGGCATCAGCCAGACGTGGCCCCACAAGGCACAGTGGTGGGGCAGCCGGAGGGGTCGGCACTGGGGCTTGTGCCCGGCCCTTCCCACCTGTGCTGAACTCACGGGAGCAGGGGCGAGGGAGGTGGTCAGGAGGAGGAGGGTCGGTGGTGCTATAGCTGATTCCCCTCTAAATAGTCCAGCTGCTCCTCCCCTACCAACTGGGCTCCAACCTGGGGCAAGAGCTGCTTCACTCAGCCCGGCAGAGCGAACACAGGGTGCACGGGGGATCCAGCCCCCGGCTGCCCATAACTTGGCCTGGAAGCTCAGGAGAGCAGCGAGGGGGATGCGGGTGAGGATGTTGGCGAGACCAGGATGATGCCAAGGTCAGGCCCTTCCCGGAGGTGCCGGCCAGGGCCTTGAGACCCCACAAGCAGACAGTCCTTCCTTGCAGGAGGTTTCCTCCAGCTTTCTTCCCCGCCACGGCCCAGAGAGGGGACCTTGGACAGGCTGAGAGCTGGTAGGCAGGCAGCTCCAAGCAGCAAACCACGCTCACGGAGGATTCCCAGCCAGCACCCGGCTCTGTCCTTCAATTGGGGCCGCGATTGTTCCACGCTTGCAATGTTGTTGCAGAGGCTCAGATGCAGCGACGGGTCTGAGCAGCGTCTTTCGGGCAGGCACAACCCCCTGCCCCAGCCGGCTGTTTGGAGGCGCCATTCACCATCGCAAACACAGCGGTGCCGCAAGCCTGCCAGAGACGCAGCCTGAATGCCCTCTTTGTTCTCCTGTCACGCCAGGGCTCTCCCCGGACGCCCGCTGCTCAGCACGGCAGTAGGAGTCCCATGGTCATCGTGGGTGCGGACAGTGCGGTTGTCGGGCGGGAAGCGTCAGCTAGAAGTGCTTGTCCTCCGGCACCGAGCTGACCACCAGCTCCTTGTTGCCGAAGTCCCAGAAGGCCGTCATGTGGAAGGCCATGTTGGAGAGGACCACCAGGTACTCCAGGAAGGCAAAGATGGTGTAGGCTGGGGGAGGAAGGAAAGACAAGGGGATGAAGGGGACGTCAGTGCAATGTCGGCCGGGGAGACAGCCTCGTCGCAGAACGTCTCCCTCCTCAGGGTCACAAGATGAGGCGACTGAAGGCAAGTGAGACCCTGTCCCTCTCATCGAGGAGCCTGGAGAGGGTAGCAAGACACTCTCCTTTCCAGAGGGCCTATTTCAAACCCGGGCCGTGCTGGGAAGGGAGCTGTAACTGCCTCCTTCCAGGGCCCGGCAGGAGGCCTACCCGAAATGAATCGGGAGTCTCTGCCCATTGCTGCCACCAGCACCGGCCTCTCACCTAGCCACTTTCACCGAGGCCAGGCCCTGCGAGCAGGCTGACCCGGGCAGGGCTCCAGGCTGGGGGCTGGATGCCAGCAGGGCAGGCCAACAGGGTGACCGAGTAAGCCAAGCGCTGCACACACACAAGGCCAGGGTCAGGGCCATTACCTCCGGGCTGGCAGTACCAGTTGTGGTGGAAGTAGACGCACACGGCCAGGGTGAAAGTGAAGAGGTTGAAG